GTCTGTGCAGCCAAAGACAGAACAGTTAGTATGTTTTGCTCAAACTTTCGTCATGACATTAGAACTGCTACACTGTTGTCGCTTGCGAAATCAAATGAAGGCGCCATGGGTGGAAACTTACAGATTAAGGGGCGGTGATATTATAATGAGATCCCTTTACCACGTCACCAAGGGAGCAAAATCAGATGCACTCGTTTTCTCAGACGCTTGCAGAAAAAGGCTTCCCAAAACAAAGATACTGGGTTAATCTTTTTCATGTTTCCTTGGTTGGTAGATGCACCGGGGACCTGATTCTAGCACTTTTTCATGATGTCACCTTTAACTTCCACAAAATAAAATCACTTTCTAATTCTTTCCCATGTTTTCCATTAACAACACTGCCCATCTGTGTGACACTTTCATTGGCTTATCATAAATTAGATCATAAAACAGCCAGTCGAGTGACTCAGCATTTTTCTGTCCCATTTTTTTCACAGAAAGCCACGCCTCTTGGCAATAAAAATCAGTCTCGAGCTCTCTGATTGGTTGAAACTGAGAGGCGGCAGTAAATTCCTGGCAGACTCATGTGGTTAGTTACTCTGAATATAACAGCTGCTTTGAAATGAGAGCAACACATTGCGTCCTTTTCAAAAGTTACTCTTTAATACTTTTCGTCTGTGGTTATTACAAAGATGTCAAGGATGTCAAGCATTTAACACAGACCCAATGAAACTGACAAAAACACATTCAGTTGGCGGACAGAACATCACAGACACACACACAGACAGCACTATAATCTCCCATTAACGTACAAAAACACACACAAGGCCACGAAACAAAGAGGGAAAGAGATTACAGAACCCCTCTCTTTATTGACTAAAGTCATGTTTATTTCAGTAAAGATGTTTGAAGCCTGTGCTAAGATGAGCAGAGAGATCTAACACGAGCTGGGACGCCTCACAGGAAACAGGAAGTGGAAAAACAGCCTCTGACGAAACCATCCATGTTATGATGCAACTAAGAAAGTATATGTACAAAAATTACAAGACAATCCGGTTTCTCACCTGGATACACGTACAGTGTCACACTCGCACACATACAAACAAAAATATATACACATCTCTGTGTTGTACAGACAGATATAATCATAACAGCACTGAAGTACCTAAAGCATACAGATTCCCATGAACTACCAGCACACTCCTCTCCAGCAAAGAATCAGCTCGTATGGACTTTGTATGATTTGAAGTTTCAACTATCAATGCGTCTTGCTTATCTCTATATTTTAGAGCCATATAAAATCATTTACATTTGGGGTAAATGTCTGAATACAAAAAAGGCACTGCCATTTGTTATTCTAGATATGACTTCCCAGCCTCTTGCATGC